AACTATTATTATTATTATTATTATTATTATTATTCTTTCTATTATTAATCTAATAGGTAGGTCTCTATCATCGATTGATACTGCTGCCTTAGTCAGTGATGTGAGCCATGGTAAAAGGACCAATTCAGTCACTACTGAAAGGACTCGTAATTCTTCTCGCACATGTTATCACTGTGGAGCTGAGGGTCATGTGAAGAAGAATTGATGGAAATTACATGGTCGTCCACCACAGACATCTGGACAGTTTCCTCCCAGGCGTGTTGCTAATACGGTTATCCTACCAACTCCTTCCACCGTTACTATTTCAGTCGATGAGTATGCTCAGCTACAACAACTTTCTCTCACAGCCTCATCTGCCACCACACAAGTTGTTATAGGTAATCCTGCTGCATGCCTCTCTACATCATCACGCAATTGGGTTATCGATTCTGGCGCAACGGACCATATGACTGGTAATGAAAATATTTTGGATTCATTTACCTCTTCTGCTAACCAGTCTCATGTTACTTTAGCAAATGGATCAACCGCATCTGTCAATGGCCTTGGAACATCAACTTTTTCTCCAAACCTTTCTCTATCTTCTGTTTTATATTTATCTCAATTTCCGTTTAATTTAATCTCAGTCAGTCATATAACTAAAGCCCTAAACTGCTGTGTTATTTTCTTTCCCACTCATATGTTTTTGAATCCTCGGTGCTGAGATCAGTTGCATGCACAAGTTCGTCTCTGTTGAAAGTTCATTGTCAATTTGGTCATCCATCTCTTTCTGTACTACAAAAAATGTGTCCTAGTCTGTCACGGGAGTCTGTTTTGGAGTGTGAAGCATGTCAGTTTGCTAAGCATCATAGAACAACTTTCCCTCCTCGAATAAATAAAAGTGTTGAGTCTAGTTTTGATTTAGTTCACACTGATGTGTAGGGTCCTTGTCCTGTCGTTTCCAAACTTGATCATCGTTATTTTGTTACATTTGTGGATGATTTTTCACGGGTTACTTGGCCTTATCCTTTGAAATCTCGTTCAGATGTGTTTACTGCATTTTGTACCTTTCATGCTGAAATTTAAACTCAATTTAATAAGAATATACGCATTCTGAGAAGTGATAATGCTAAAGACTATTTATCTAGCACTTTTCAGACTTGCTTATCTCGCCATGGGATTTTACACCACACTTCTTGTCCCTATATACCTCAACAAAATGGTATAGCTGAACGAAAGAATCGTCACCTACTAGAAGTAGCTCGAGCCTTAATATTTCACATGGGGGTTCCTAAACCATTTTGGGTAGACGTTGTTTCCACTACGTGTTACCTTATCAATCGTATGCCTTCTTCTGTTCTTAATGGTCAGATTCCGTACTCCGTTTTATTTCCCTCCCAGTCCCTGTTCTCTCTTGTGCCTCGTGTGTTTGGTTGCACATGCTTTGTCCAGGATATGCGTTCCCAGGTCTCAAAACTTGATCCTAAATCAATCAAGTGTGTTTTTCTGGGTTATTCTCGATTACAAAAAGGATATCGATGTTATTCTCCTTCATTGGGACGTTATATTATCTCTGCAGATGTCACATTTTTTGAAGAAACACCCTTCTTTCAGCATAGTTCATCTTCATCCCCTTCCTTGGAACTCTCTAATGATGAGTTTCTAGTCTATACCACCAGCCAGCTAGAAACTCTCCCCCCAATGAGGTTTCCCCATCAACTTTCCTTCCTCCTCCACCTCCTCCCCTTAAAGTTTACTCTCGTCGTGTGCGCCCTGTGACTACGGCACCTACTATGGCTACCAGTGTACAACCGCCATCTTCTGCTTCGCCTCCAGATTCTGCTCCCTCCGACCTTGATCTCCCAATCGCCCTCCGAAAAGGTACTCGTACTTGTACTTATCTCGTTTCTTCCTTTGTTACTTATAATACTTTGTCACCTTCTTCCAAGAGCTTTATTGCTTCTTTAGATTCTATTGTTGTTCCTTCAACTGTTTCTGAGGCCTTGGCTCATCCTGGTTGGCAAGAGGCAATGCGAGAAGAGATGATGGCTCTCGATCAGAACCACACATGGGACCTTGTATATCTTCCATCCGATAAGAAAGCTATTGGGTGTAAATGGGTGTTCACCATCAAAATGAATTATGATGGTTCTGTTGCTCGTTTAAAGGCACGGTTAGTAGCTAAGGGTTATGCTCAGGCATATGGTATAGATTACTTTGACACTTTCTCTCCTGTTGCCAAGCTTACATCCATTCGATTGTTCATCTCTTTGGCTGCTACTTACAATTGGACACTCCATCAACTTGATATTAAAAATGCCTTTTTGAATGGTGATCTTAGCGAGGAAGTATACATGGAGCAACCACCGGGGTTTCTTGCTCAGGGGGAGTCTGGAAAGGTATGTAAATTAAGGAAATCGTTGTATGGTCTGAAACAATCCCCACGAGCATGGTTCGGCCGTTTCAGTGCTGCAATATTTAAATTTGACCTACGCAGGAGTGCCTATGATCACTCAGTTTTCTTCTCTACCTCAAATTTTGGATGCATTCTATTAGTTGTGTATGTTGATGACATCGTGATCACTGGCAGTGATGCGAGTCGTATTTTGAAACTGAAAGCTTTCCTTGCTACTTGTTTTCAGACCAAAGATCTTGGGCCTTTGAAGTATTTCTTAGGGATAGAAGTCTCACGTAGTAACAAGGGAACTTACTTGTCTCAAAGAAAATACTGCCTATATGTGCTAAATGATGCAGGTTTGGTTGAGGCAAAACCGTGTGATGCTCCGATGATCCCAAATGTAAAGTTAACCGCTGATGAAGGTGACTTGCTGGAAAATCCTGAGGTATACCGAAGAATTGTTGGGAAACTGAATTATTTGACTATCACCCGACCTGATATTGCTTTCCCGGTCAGTGTGGTCAGTCAGTTTCTGTCCACTCCACGAACATCACACTGGGATGCAGTTACTCATATCCTAAAATACTTGAAGGGGGCTCCAGGGCGTGGGATACTATGTCAAAACCATGGACATCATGTTATTGAAGGGTTTACTGATGCGGACTATGCTGGAAACCTTAATGACCGACATCCCACTACTGGTTACTGTGTCTTTGTTGGTGGAAACCTTGTATCTTGGAAAAGTAAGAAGCAAAATGTTCTCTAGATCAAGTGCAAAATCTGAATATAGAGCTATGGCACAAACTCCATATAGCAAATAATCCTGTTTTTCATGAAAGAACAAAGCATATTGAAGTTGATTGTCACTTTACTCGAGAAAAGGTAGAAGATGGTACAATTTGCACTTCACACATCAAAACAGGAAACCAACTGGCAGATGTGTTCACAAAGGCTCTACCGGGGACACGTATCAATTCCATTTGTACCAAGCTGGGCATGATTAATATCTATGCTCCAGCTTGAGGGGGAGTGTTAGAATATACATATTTAATAGTTAATATATTCTATGTATATATAAGGTAGCTAATATATTCTCTGCGATAGACTAAATATTCTAGGTAAATCTGACAGATTTAGTTTCCTTTTTTGTATTCTCTAGCTTGTATGTATTTATACTGGCCATACCTATTGATAATGAAGTGTGATTTCATTGCATCTTTAATCCCTATTACTCAGTTTACACTAATAATAGGCCCAAAGTAAAACATAGCATTAACTTAATAATAATAAATAAACTCTAATGACAGCCCTAACCCGGCCCACGGAAGTGGTCCCAAGCCCGGTCCCGCCCCATGCTCTTCCTGCTCTCTATCAATAGTTTTGTTAAATATTTAATGTGGCGGATTGATCTCTTATACTACCTCCGTCCCACTATGTTTGAGATAAGAGGACGTGACACAACTTTTAAGAAAAAGTGGAATTGTGTGGTTGGTATTGAATTGATATAGTGTGAATAATGTAAGAATAAATTATAACCACCCCAATATTACCAAATTGGGACGGACGAAAAAGGTAAAAGTAAAACGGGACAAAGTTAGGGGGATGGAGGGAGTATCTTTTATCGTTTTTTTATCCTTTTATGTTCTTTTTCTTTTTTATGTTTTTTAATTGTTTTATCATTTTTTAATTTTATATATATTCTTTGTATCCTTTTTATCTTATCATTCTTTATCTCTATCTTATCTGTCTTTATCGTATCTTTTTTATCATACCTTATCTTTTTATTTTTCTTATATTTCTTTTCCTTTTGGTTCCGATATCATGTATCGATTTGCGTTAGCTGATTAAAAATCTTTTGGGAATAATGCTTGAATGTTGTTGTTATAGTACATTTCATAATAATAGTTTTATTTTCTATGTTGATCGAGTTTTACGGAGTTGACCAGGTTGACCCCCGGGGCTGAGCTGACCCAATATAGTCACGTGCCACAATGATGTTTACTCCATTTCTGATCTTACTCTTGCGGTCTCTCCCCAAATACCACCACATAAAACCTTTAGGATTAATGTCTCGTGCCATCTCTCCAACCCACTTAGTTTTTTGCACGCATATGAAGCTGATATTCCTGACCACCTTAACCCCAACCATGCCCTTGCATATTGGACACTTTCCCCGGGCATTAGGGTGGCGTGATGATTCTGGGCAACGACCTAGCTGTAGTGGTAATCATATTTCGATTTATGTCATGTGATGTGGTTAAGTTATACTGTTTGCCGTCATGTGCCCTACCACAAAACCCTTCTCTTTTATGTTGGCTTGAGAGAGGCATGCTACCAATAACAATGGTCTCTTTGTGGAGTTAGATACACCATAGATAATATACTCTTAATAGGCTAAATGGCTAATACATCTCCAACAACACTAATCGCAGGATAAAACTCTTATGTTATTTTAATACGTAGCAAGCTATTATTAATTTCAAGATCATCATTATTATGTCAAAGTCTTCTTTATTGCATATTAGACTAGCCAATTTTTGTGATATGAGGTTCTTTATGTTTTAGTCTCCTGATTATTATAGTTGTTACCGAAATATATTAACTATAGATAACTTTTTATTGACAGTTAAATGCAGACAAGAGCCCCTTCCAACGAACATTTGTTAATCAGGTAAACTTCTTAACGAATTATTTCCATGATATACAAAAGGTGGGAGTAGCACCTATAGAAGATAAGATGCAGGAGTCTCGTTTGCGGTGGTTTGGCCATGTGCGTAGAAAACCGAGTGATGCACCTCTTAGACGACTTGAGGGGTGGGGAGAAGAGGCAGAGAAGAAAGGGAGAGGAAGACCCACAAAGACTTGGATTAGAGGAATCAGAACTGATATGCGTCTTCATGGGTTGGATGAGAGTATGGTTTTGGAGAGAGCAAAGTGGAGGGCGCACATCCGTGTGGACGATTGATGTCTTTTCTACCTTTGCTCTCTCTTCTCGTTTATCATTTATCTTCTTTATCTTTTTATATTCTAATGTTATTTTTATCTTCTAGCTTTTTTATGCTCTTTTATCTTTCTATCTTTTATCTTTCTTATATTCATGTTATTGTTATCTTATATTTATTTATCTTTATTTTATCTGTTTTATCTTACTTTTTCCCCCCTTTTTGTCCGTCTTCTCTGTTTGGCATCAATATTATAGATCGATTCATGTTAGCCAACCCCGAATTCTTTTGGGATTAAGGCTTGGATGTTGTTGTTATACAAAAATATTGCCATGAATCCACGATTATTGTTAAAAACTTCCCGGTAAGCTCAATTTATTGCTAAACTAAAATGAAAGTTCAAAGTCGGTGATACCATCCTAGCTCCGTCCTAAAAAAAGTAATGTTTGAGTGTGTGACCAATGTACAACTTTTGCATTTTGATAAGTTGCAGACTTGCGGTTGTCATAAATCACGAACCATACTTGTATTTTAAATTTATATGTTAATTAACTACATTTAACGTTTGTAGTTGGTTTGTGTCTGTATTTACATTACCTTCTTTTGAGCAAAATTGATTCTTCATTGGGAGAATATATGTCTTGGAAACATAACTAATTTTTGGGATGGAGGGATTATATATTTTTCGATATGTGGAAATACTTTCCTTGATGGTCAAGTGAAATTTCACACTAAACACTATTCCAGTGGATTCAAATTCCGCACAACTAAATATCAGGTCGTCGCCCGTTTTGAATACAATTTCGGGAAATTCCGGAAATAGGAGTAAAAATGTTTTGGAATTCCACAATAGGAGTACTATGTTTTTATTCCTTACGTAGGAGTAAATATTGCCAAATTTGGAAAATAATGCCATGTTTAAAGTCTGATAATGCCAAAACATGACAGTAATTACTCCTATTTAGGAAATAAAAATATAGTAGTCCTATATTGGAATTCACAAACGCTTTTACTTCTATTTAGGGCAATTTCTTATACAATTTTAGAAAAACTTTAAAAAAGGACCTTGTACATCTTATACTCATGAGCACATATAAAGACTGAAGACTAGACTAACCCGAATCTTATGTATAGTTTCAGATAATTTTTAAATACTTAACTGTTTTATTTGCATTTCTCAATTAGAGGTATGTTATCATGTGATTTACATTTGCTAGGTCACCATGATCTGTATTGAATTTTTAATAGGTGAAAAGATGTGCAGAGATGTCACGGAAACTGCGATTTTTCAAAGAACAGATACACAAAGCCGGTGTACTATCTTCTTCTCCTGCTTCAACACCTGATACTGAGTTAGAAGGATTGGAGGTCTCTTTTCCTTTACTCTAACATTAAGAAGTTGGCATCCCCCAATTACCTATTTAAGTAAACTTATACATTCTATTTTTTGTTTTCCTTGGATCCTAGATACAAATTGCAGAGCATGAACATGAGCTAATTGAAATGAATGCTAACAGTGAGAAATTGCAGAAATCATATAATGAGCTATTGGAATTTAAGATAGTACTGCAAAAGGTAAAGCTGCTATCCTGTTCCAACTTCAAGCATGTGAAGCTTGTAATTGTTATACTGAATTGGAATTTAGCTTCAAGACGGGAACCATTTGTAACCTTGATGAGCCTACTATTGTTTGAAGCCATCAAAGAAGTTTTAAGTGTTGGTTTTGTACCTTGTATCTACTACTCCTGTCCCATTTTAGCTTTCCCATTTTCCTTTCTAGCCTGTCCTAGAAATATTGTCCACTTTCTGAATTTCAAAACTACCAACATTTTACTTTTCTGAATTTACCTTTTCTCCAGATTAGCTTTTTAGAATGATTTTGCACCGTCTGACCTATTTGAGGGGCAATCTTGGAAAGTGCATCACATTTTATTGTCGTAATGAACAACCACGGAGAAAACAAATACACCTTATAAATTCGTATATTGAGAGTGCAATTAATTATCTAACACCTTTAAGTGTGCCCATCAGCATCCCTATGATCAATCTCTGTATACTCATGTGTTTCATATGGTTCTAAATTCACCTCAGATGTTTCTGAGCTTGAATGCCTTTGACTGCTGTTGTGTAACTCTACTTTTTTAAAGATTGTATAAAAACATTCTTTTGTGTACTATAGGACCATATGTTTTGGTTTCATTCTTCAATTGTGCTCTTATTTTCTTAATGTGGGCAATTCCAGGCTGGTGAGTTTCTTCTTTCAAGTCAAATACCCACCCAGGAAACAGAGCTAGACGAAAATGTGCACTCTCATGATGAATACGCTGATATAGCATCATTACTTGAGCAGGTATTGTTCTGCTGTCACCTTCTAACAGTTAGTATGCATGAAAAAGTATAATGATTTTACATGTAGTCATGTATAAAGGCATGTGTCTATGTGCGTTTATTTGTTTCTTTTTACTTTCAGGAAATGCAGCCTGAACTGCCAACTCATGTAAGATTTATTAGTGGCATAATCTGCAAGTCCAAAGTTCTTACATTTGAAAGGATGTTATTTCGTGCTACGAGGGGCAACATGCTTTTCAACCAGACACCAGCTGAGTATGAAATCACGGATCCTGCTTCAAATGAAATGGTGACCTCTTCTTTCGTTTTTAATTTTTATTTTATTTGTAGTTGATCTTATTATGTTTTATGTGACTTTGCTCAGTTTTTATGTCCCATGAAGGGATAATGACAAAAAGTAGAGGTAAAAATAAATGAACCAATAAGTGTGTGGTCTCCTGCCAAAATGAGTTGCAGGAGATAAATGGAAGAAAGTTTAAACAAGATACTCCCTCCGTCCCGCAATGAATTTCCCACTTTCCGTTTTTGGATGTCCCAAAAACAAGTTCTCATTTCCTTAAATGGTGAGTTAATCTACATCAAAACAGTGCAAAACAGTGCGAAACAGTGCCAAACAGTGCCAAACAGTGTCAAAACAGTGTCAAAACAGTGTCGAAAAAGTGTCAAAACAGTAAAATTTACCCCATGGTAACTTTATTTCCTTAACATGTGTGTAGGTCAAACTGTGAAGTTCATTGTGGGACGGAGGGAGTATATTTTAAATAACTATTGTCTATTGGGTTATAGAAACCTCAATACTGTGAACAGTAAGCAGAATAAATATGAGAGTAGATATTTTACATAGATGGAAAGTGCTTACCCCCCCCCCCCCCCAGCTCATTGATTGATTGATTTCTTATAGACTACGTAGTATTTGGCAAACATGATCAGCCCTATGTAGCCCCCCTAGGCATATTAATGACATCCAAAGTAAAATAAAGATTATAAACAAACACACATATATAGACTGCATCCTACAACAACAACACTACCCCAGTGCTGCAAAGGCTCCCACCTACAGTGGTCAGATGTACGTTGCCTTAGCCCTATAATAAAGCACAAAGAGACTATTTCCGGATGACCCATGATGAACATCGCGTCAAAACTGACTGATGCTTCATAACAAATAAGTGCAGACAGTTTAGTGAGTCATTTTGCTTTATTCCATCAAATTCTCAAGCCAAAAAGTAGTGAGTCTTTGGCTCCATTGGAAATGATGGAAAATAGACTGCATCCTAAGTCATATAAACTTCTTATTGATGGCATCCAAACTACAAAATAACATAAACTTCCCTGCTCCAACTGGATTCCTTGAATGCCCCTATTATTTGTACCAAACACCACCGTTAAACTTTGGCTGTTCGGTCTTGGATGTATAAAAGACATTATTACTAGTTTTTTCTAAACCAGTATAATATAGTTCATTCTTATGTCTTCTTTTTAAGTTTTTCATTTTGTTTTTGTTTTTTGGCCTGAGGACCAAACCATTACCAATTCATTAGCTTAATGCGCTCAACTCTCATGCTTTGCTTTGCAGATTGAGAAGATTGTATTTGTAGTTTTCTTCTCAGGTGAGCAAGCAAGAACCAAAATACTAAAAATTTGTGATGCATTTGGAGCAAGCTGTTATCCTGTTCCAGAAGATAGCACCAAGCGAAGGCAAATAACTCGCGAAGTATGTCATAAAATAATTACTGTTCATGAAATTCTTATTCTGGTTAAAATACTTTTGTCTTTGGGTTTCAGTCTTCTATGTTTCAATTTTTTTGACTTTCTGTGACTGTTTTTTGAAAACATTTCATGGTAGTGCACTAGTGCACTTGTGCTACACTTTTATTCCACTTGATCACTAGTTTTTATCATTATAGAAGGAATAATTTTTGCATATAGAACTTCAAAGGGGGTAGAGGTTTCTGTTTTCCATCTTGCTTACTATTATTCCTGGGTTATTGGCAGTAATACTTGTGATATAATAACTTCTTGGTTGCAGGTCCTGTCTCGTTTATCTGACTTAGAAACCACTTTGGCTGCTGGATTACACCATCGAAACAAAGCATTGAGCTTTATTCGGTCTCATCTTACAAGATGGATTAACATGGTAAGACATACTTAAGAACTTGCGAAGCATTCTTAGTTTAAGAGTTTGTTTTTATTTGCATACCAATATGGAGACAGTCTGGATTGGTTATTACTTATTTATGTGATTTCTAATATGAGTTAAGAACAACCACATTTTCTAGGTTAGAGTGGAAAAGGCAGTATATGACACGCTAAATATGCTGAACTTTGATGTTACGAAAAAGTGTCTTGTTGGTGAGGGCTGGTGCCCTGTATTTGCGAAGACTCAGGTACATAGTTCTGAATGATTTTCAGTTGATAAATATATGCAACCTTCTTTATATTAGCTTACTAGAAAATGCTTGTGGCAACATAGATTCAAGAGGCTTTACAACGTGCTACATTTGATAGCAATTCACAAGTGGGAATAATATTTCATGATATGGATTCCATTGATTCACCTCCAACATTCTTCAGAACTAACTGTTTTACGACTGCATTCCAAGAAATTGTTGATGCATATGGGTAAGTTTAGAAGATGCTGTGATACTCACTTTATTAGTCCAAATGATAATGTAACATATGTTCAATTTTCCTCCGTTTAATGTTATTATGTCCTCAACTCCTTTTGTTTGCTCAAATGCTCTTTTATAAGAACAAATAGATTTAAATTCACACTGAATGATTGTGTTCTTAAATTTCACTTTGTTAGACTATTCTTTTGCAATTGTGCGTACTTGGTCTTGATTTAGAAGTTATATTTAATCTGTTTCAAACTTTCAGATGATCTGTTAATTTCAGGTGTAGTATACTACCCCTGAATCGCTAAATATGCTGAACCTTGATGTTACCAACAAGACGATCTATTAGGTCACCATACTACACCTGATATAATGTTGATGTTATCAAAAATTGTATTGTTGATGTTATGAAAAAGTGGTCTTGCTGGTAATCTCAGATGTAGTATAGTGATCTATTTGTCTAGGTTGGAAATAATATTTTAGGCTCTTGTTGTCAATAATTGGTGTTGAGCCCAATATTATCCTCTTTAAACTCTTAATCTGTCTGGAATTTCTAGAACTAGACTATATTCATCTGGACTAAAACTATGCGCAACAAATCATTCTGCTATCCATTGGCACTTGAAGAATTGGGAAGGCTCTCATAGTTCAACTTATATTGCAGGGTTGCAAAATATGAGGAGGCAAATCCTGCGGTGTATACAGTCATCACATTCCCTTTCTTGTTTGCTGTGATGTTTGGGGACTGGGGTCATGGAATTTGTTTGCTATTGGGAGCATTGTATCTTCTAGCTCGAGAGAAAAAGCTTGGCTCTCAGGTATGCTCTTGTTAAGACTTGGGTTTCATTCCTAAAAGGTCAACTTGATAAAAGGTATCTTCTAGTTTCTGATTTCATATTTAGGTGATGTGAGATAAATGATTCAACACCCTCCTCCCGGGCAGACACCATCTAGACTGCGCAACATTTTTTCCCATAAGAGCACATATCTTCACGGTCCAATACTTTTGGACTGCATTTTTCTTTCATGTGGGACTACCTGAAGGCTAGAGGTCGGGTTGGCTTTGATGTCATGTTAAAACATGAGATTTCAATCTGATAGGATGAGTAGTCCAACACTTTTATATGTTGTTTTTAATATTTTATATTTGACTGATATGAGGTAAATGCTTTACATTATTAAGAGATCTGGCTTCATTTTCAAACTTTAACCTAATAAAAGATTAGTTCATGATTTTTATATATTGGTTTATAGCTTTATACTTAGCCACCGTGGCGTAAATACTTTAACACATATATCAACCCAAAACAGGCTGGACAACTTGAGAGTGGATAAATGGGTCAAATGAGACCCTAAGCTGCCTATCTTAAATCATAGGTATCAAATTAACAAACATATCACAATCGAACCCAATTCTAATAACAAGTTGGGGTTCCTTCCTAAATGGTCAATGAAGTGTAGCTCAAAGTCCTATATGCTAATTTGTTCTTTCACATTTAGCTGGTTTGAGACAAAACATTCAACAACTCTCCTCTCATAATGTATTTAGCTTCTCGCGTGTGGGAAATTAAGTTCCCATTGGATGACTATAGATATACTTATCTATTATCTGGTTACCTTTTTTGCTGTCAGAAACTTGGGAGCTTTATGGAAATGCTATTTGGTGGCCGCTATGTTCTTCTCTTAATGTCCATATTTTCAATTTACTGTGGGTTGATATACAATGAGTTTTTCTCTGTGCCCTTTCACATATTTGGTAATTCTGCATATAGATGCCGTGATACTACTTGCAGGTAAGCAATATATTCGTTGCTGCCTTTTTATATATTTTGTAACCTCAAGTTTGTGAAATTTAAAGCCACGAATCTTTTAAAGTTTTGAAATTGTGTTTTTATGCCTTCCTAACTCATTACGAAAATCACAATATTTGGGAAACAATGATTCCACGGAGTTGAAATGCATTTGGATGACATAACCGAAAGGCGTAAGCTTGAAGGCATTATTATAACTTTATAAGTGGGTTTAACACTAACTTTAATTATGTACCCATCTGTAATGAGACAAGGTATTCTTTTGGTAAAGATGCTTCCTTGAGACCATTCTATCTGACATATAAAAAGAGCAGTACTGACTTGATGAGTAGATATTTGCTTTAATTGCTGTAAAAAGTTCTGCTTAGCCCTGATAATCCCCACCTAGACACTAGGTTGTGTTTGGATGCCTCTGTCTTTTCTAGATATACCCTTCCTAATTCCACTTAGATCCGGCCTAAACCCCGATTAATCCAACACAGACAACATTTTATAGGATTTCTTGAAATCTTTTTAACTATGTTCTAATTGTTGCTATAAGTTTTAGGGTTCTTTATCCTAGTTGTAGTGTGCTTTCGGAGACTTGTGCATCCATAATTGCTTCTGCTATTTATTAAGGGGAATAATGGAGAGTATGAGGGTATCATATATATAGGATATAGTTGTGATTACATAAGCCTTCTTCTGTAATTCATTATTTACAGAGCATGTTTATCTTCACAGAGATGCTCACACAGTTGGTTTAATCAAATACAAAGACCCATATCCGTTTGGTGTAGATCCAAGTTGGAGAGGTAGCCGTTCAGAGCTTCCTTTCTTAAACTCCCTGAAGATGAAGATGTCAATTTTGTTGGGTGTGGTGCAAATGAATCTTGGAATCATGCTAAGTTACTTCAATGCACGTTTCTTCAGCAGTTCGATTGATGTTAAGTATGTATGATTTTATCTTTATTTCTTCTTTTAATTGATAATAATTGACAGACTGGACAAAAGGGAATTTATTATATGAATTGGTTTACAGGTATCAGTTTGTGCCCCAGATTATTTTCCTCAACAGCCTTTTTGGATATCTTTCACTTCTCATTATTGTCAAATGGTGCACTGGTTCTCAAGCTGATCTTTACCATGTCATGATTTACATGTTCTTAAGTCCTTTTGAGGATCTTGGCGAAAATAAATTATTTTGGGGACAGAGTGTGCTTCAGGTGAGAAATTAATTGCTTCTTCCTACAAAAGTACAATCTTTAGAGTTTAGACTATTTTTTAAGCATAACATATTGCTGCAGGTCATACTATTGATTGTAGCCCTTATTGCCGTTCCTTGGATGCTATTCCCTAAGCCTTTTATTTTGAAGAGACTCCACACTGAGGTACTATTATTCTACTTTAATGATCTTTTTTCCTTTATGGGTTTTTTCTAATGTATGCTCATAGGACACTTGGTTAAGACCTTTTAATGAGGGGAGATTTCCCTAAAAAATGAGTAATACATAGGTGTTTTGCCTACTTAGGATTACACCGTTTCAATTCATAAAGTAGGAGAGAAATATATATATATATAAATATATATATATATATATATATATATGGATGGACAAAAATGCCCTTACATGTATAATTTATTTTTTATATTACCAAACATCAAATCAAATCAACCAACACCCGACTCTGGCGGCAGCCGCCGGTCTCTGGTGACCGTCAGCCAAATACTGCCATCATTAATACTGTCATCTTGAATTCTGATGGTCACCAGTTAAGTACTATCATCCGTAAACCCTACTTCCATCTTGTGGCCATACTACCATTTTAACACTCGCCAATGGCAATGACAGACGACCTGTGATCGGTTGCGACGACAAGAAATCTGCAACCAGCATTAATGTAATTGAATTTTATTGAGAAAACTAGAAGGAAAAGATAACAGTGGTTATGTCTTAAAACTGAGCATGTCATGGAGGGAACTGGGCATGGAATTGGTTCGTCTTTGTGTGGCTGCTATCGCCATAGTACGGCTCCGCCAGACCTGGTGTCCTGCTGCTGAAGATGGAGTTACTGTCGTCGCCCTGGCGCCCTGCTGCAGCGATGGGGAAGGAAAGTCGGCAGAGAGGTGCAAGAGGAACATAATAATGGAAGTAAGGAGGGACATAAAAGGAATAGGTACTAGTATTTTGGGAATTGAAAACACGTTGTCCTAATGTTGCATTGGATGTGTGGACATACCAGAAAAGACGTCTTCATAAATGAGACAATCAGACAAGGTGGGAGTAGCACCTATTGAAGATAAGATGTGAGAGCCTCGGTTGCAATGGTTTGGTCATGTGCGTGGAAGACCGAGTGATGCGCCTATTAGATGAGCTGAGAGGTGGAAAGAAAAGGTGAGGAGGAGAGGGAGATGAAGATCCAAATAGATGTGGATTAGAGGAGTAAGGACTTGGGAGTGATATGCTTTTTCTTGGGTTTGAACTAGAGCATGACTTTGGATATCAAGTGGAGGGAGAATATTTATGTGGAGGATTGATTTCATTTCATCTTTATTTTTTTATTTTTTTCTTCCTATCTTTTAAATCTTTCTTATACTCTTTATCTTTTTATCTTTTTTATCTTATCTTTTTTATCTTTATTTTATGTTTTTAATCTTATCTTATCTTTTCATCTTTTTTTTATCTCTAATTTCATATGTTGAATTTATTTACCCGACCCAAACTCTTTTGGGACTTAGGCTTGGATGGTGTTGTTGTTGTTGTTGATAGTGTTACTCCTATTTAGGGATATTTCTTTTCAATTAGTTACTTGGAAAGTCATGTTTTTTCCCTAAGAATTATCTTGGTAATGGTCATAAATATACAAATTTGAGTCGTAATGCAAATTACATTTATTTTGTTTCTTTCAATTCCTTTCTTAAAGTATGAAAGCGAAGCTCATTAGATTAATTTTTAATAATAAAGCTCATTAGATAAAGCTCCTTTCAATAATTTAAATATCCCATGCTCAACAACTTCTTAGTGGTGTAATGTTTCTCCTGTACTAGTAGCAAATGAACAGGCTGTTTTTTATGCTTCTAACCTGTAATCTATCACAGAGATTTCAAGGTCAAACATATGGGATTCTCAGAACATCTGAGATGGATCTCGAGGAGGAACCAGGTTCAGCGAGGCCACACCACGAGGACTTCAATTTTAGTGAAGTCTTCGTGCACCAAATGATACACTCTATTGAGTTTGTCCTTGGTGCTGTGTCTAATACAGCATCATATCTTAGACTATGGGCTTTGAGGTTTGTTTGTCAAATTGTTGCATGTTATTGATCATACATTTGTCTTCCCCCAATTGGATTGACATATTTGGATGATGCAGTTTGGCCCACTCAGAACTTTCGACAGTCTTTTACGAGAGAATCCTCCTCCTTGCCTGGGGGTAGGTTTTCTAAGCAGCTTCATATTTTTTTTTTGTTTTATCTGCCAGTTTAGGACTTAGGTTCAAATTTCCAGCATAGTATGTTAGGCAGTAACAGTTTATTTTGTTAATGTCTGCATAAAGTGATATTTACTTTTGTTTTAAGTCAAGAATGTATCCGGGGTGGGGGGGGGGGGGGGGGTCCTCCATTTCTCGCAGGTTTTAACTACACACACAGGAGCGGTTTTTGTACAACACTTGAACACTTCCTTCAGTGACATTTTTCTGTCAACATTTATGTCTGAGATAAAAAAGAACACACCACATACCAGACTTTTATTTTTACAGAATTTTTTGTCGGGTCTCTACAAAACATCTTGTGTGGAAGTGTTGTATCCCTAGCATCGCTCTCACATGCACACACATTTAGTCTCTGTGTGCATTGTTTGTATTGTATTTTGGGAAAACTGTCAAATAAGGCCTCCTAGTATATTCAAAAAGTCAATTAAGCCCTCAAACTAAAATAACACTCAATTAAGTCCATCAACTTTACAAAAACAATGACATTTCTAATTTAGCAGGTAAAGGTTCGGTCATCCGGTTACATAGGTGACGTGGCAATCGCATTTACAAAAATAATGACAAAAACAATCACATTTAAGTTTTTTCTTTTTTTTTTCCTTCTTTTTTTATTCTTTCCTTCTTCTTCTTTCCTCCTGCAACTTTGTTCTTTGCCGGACACTTCTCCCGTTACGTACTTTCTTCTTTCTTTCTCTTCCGCCAGCCATTTCTCTTCTCTCCCTTTGCTTCTTTCTTTATCCTCTGTTTCTTCCTTGTCATCCTTGTTAGTTGTTCCTTTCGGCGGAGGTGTTCGACGGAGGCGCGCGACGGAGGTGTTCGCCGGAAATTCGAGCTCGTCTCCTCTTGTCACTTTCTTCTTCTGCCCCGTTCTCCCTCTACTTCTTTCTGCCCCGCCATCTCCGACGTCTACACCCCCTTCTTTCTTCCGCCCGGTTTGAGCAGATTGGTCATCCGGAATCTACCATCGATTTCTTCTTCTTTCTTCTGCCCTGTTCGAGGTTGTCAATTGCCACGAAAAGAAGAAAAAGTCAAAAAAAGACATTTGGATGCCACGTAAGCACACTCACCGGTTAACCGAGAATCAACCGACTAGATTAGGAAATTGGATGTTTTTGTATAGTTCATAGACTTAATTGGGTGTTTCTCGAGGGCTTAATTGACTTTTTTGGTATACTTCGAGGACCTATTTGACAGTTTTCTCTTGTATTTTTAATTGCATTGTATCGATAAGAAGTTACTATGAGGTTGTGTACGTGTGTCTTTCACAAGAACAAATTACTGACTTTTGCAACCAAGTGCTGACCTTTTATCATTGATGAGTTAGGTCGAAAGCTTATAGAGAAAAGGGCTGTAATAGATTTTCATTGTGGTAGTAGCTTCTGAAGTTAATACTAACTTTACCAGTTCCACCTCAGAGAGATGAGAAACATTAGACAAGATAATGATATACATTAACTCTTCACCTTGAAACATTTAAGTGATGATAGATGATTGGAAGTATTTTACAAGCGTTTCAACTTAGAATTAGGGTAGATAAGTTCTTGTTTGATTTGCAATGGAGCCAAAGATTCATTATTTTTTGGCTTGAGATTATGAAGGAATAAAGCAAAATGGCTCACTAAACTGTCTGCGCTTCTTTGTTATGAAGCAACGGTCAGTCCATGCAATTTTGGACGAGATTTTCACTATGTGTCATCCGGAAACAGTCTCTCTGTACTTACGTACAGGGGTAAGACTGCGTACATCCGACCCTTCCCTTACCCCACTGTAGGTGGGAGCCTTTGCGACACTAGGGTAAATGAAAATGAAAATGAAGTTTTTGTTTGATCGTTCAAATTAGGAATTTTTTCAATTCAAGATTCTAAAGATGTGTAGCTATCAATTAGAGATCATGTAGATGAAACTTATCAATTTTGGGGTCCGAATAATTGAAAACTAGGATTGAGCACAAATCTAGGACTTCTTATCCCATACCAAAGTACCGTTCTTTAAGCCGTACCGGACCATACTGTTTTTTATATAATTTGGCACAGTACCTAGTTATTTTGTGATAATCATTTAAGAATCATTCGAGAGTCAAAACCGAACCGAACTTTCCTCAACCGTCCCAAAGAACCCTGATACATATGTGTGTACAATGTACCTGTATGTAAATATATGTATATGCGCACACAACACATATATGTATGCATGTACGTACTTATGTATGTATGTATCATCATTTTCATTTACGCAGTCTTACCCCTGTACTAAAGCACAGAGAGACGGTTTCCGGATGACCCATAGTGAAAATCCCGTCCAAAATTGCATGGACTGACGGCTGCTTCATAACAAAGAAGCGTAGACAGTTTAGTGAGCCATTTTGCTTTATTCTATCATAATCTCAAGCCAAAAAATAATGAATCTTTGGCTCCATTGCAAATGATGGAAAATATGTATGTATGTATGTATGTATGTATGTATGTATGTATGTATGTATGTATGTATGTATGTATGAATATATAAAGAGAGAAATAATAATTATTAATCCTATCCATATAACCTAGCTCACTGGAATGGGTCACTTGGCACAAAGTAGGAGGCTTTCTTGTAGTGATTACTTAATATGCCATAATATAAAGTCACTGTTGAACTTGGATTATCTGTTGAACTCTTATTTGAGATGGGACAAGTTTTCTTAAATAATCGTGTGGTACAGTTTAATCATCATCATCATCATCATCATCATCATCACCCAGTGCCGCAAAGGCTACCACCTACGGTGGGGTAAGGGGGGTCGGATGTACGCAGTCTTACCCCTGTACTAAAGCACAGAGAGATTGTTTCCGAATGACCCGTAGTGAAAATCGCGTAAAAAATTGCATATGCTGACCGTTACTTCATAACAAAGAAGCGTAAACAGTTTAGTGAGCCATTTTGCTTTATTCCATCATATTTCCAAGCCAAAAACTAGTGAGTCTTTGGCTCCATTGAAAATGATGGAAAGTCTGATACAATTTAATGCTCAGTCTTATTCAAAACTATCTGACTCAAGACTTAAAAAATCATGAACTTTAAATTTTTAATAATTTTTTAATTTTAATTTTGAAAGAACTTTTATTACAGAAAAGCTATAGGTTTTAACGAAGTACATAATTTTGAAAGTAATTAAAATACAAAAACCCGAAATTTATGATAGCTTTTTAGATTTGTAGTTTCAATGGTTTGGGCCCTAAATTTATAAATTTCATCTTCAAGGTCCACATTTGGGGCATAATTTTTTGCGCACATTATTTTTTGGTTAACCCACCCTATTTGATTGCACCATGAAACATAATGTACTTTTGCAGGTATGACAACATCTTCATACGACTGGTGGGGTTGGCAGTTTTTGTCTTTGCAACAGCATCCATACTGCTCATGATGGAGACACTGAGTGCTTTTCTTCACGCATTGCGTCTTCACTGGGTTGAGTTTCAGAACAAGTTTTATCATGGTGATGGCTATAAGTTCAGGCCGTTCTCCTTGGCGTCATTAGCAGATGACGATGATTAATCTCTAGTAGCACACACGTCTTCTTACTTTTTTCCTGGGAATTCGCAGTGAAGATTCCAATGGGCGAAGACATGGTATCTGAAGATACCAATTCTTACGGCCATCTGCAGTGAAACTATGGTGAAGACATTCTTCATGCCCTGCTGTGGCCGGCTGCATTGTCTATCCCTATAGCCCCATAGAGATTAGAATCTGGAGATAGTTCTATAGTCGTGACTATATCTTTCCGTGGCTCACACTTCAGCTTATATAGCTATTTATAAACTAAATTTTTGCACACCATTTCATAGTTTGTAAAAAGGGAATTCATTATACCATATAACTTCACGGATTTTGTTCTTTAGAAAAAAATGAAGGTATGATTACTTGAAGGCGTACATAGACTGATAGACTAATGAAGCGTGAAGGAACTTCTGGTATTTAGTATTTTTGTTAGCATTTGTGAATTCTTTGTTTTAAGAATTCTACGCTTTCTTTGGAATAATTTAGGGGTGGACTCGGGTCCGGGCCGGGTCCGGGTCGGGCCTAGGCCCGGGCGGGCCGGCGGGTCGGAAATGGTGGACCCGGGACCGGCCCGGGTAACCACCGGGTCCGGTCCGGGTCCGGGCCGGGCTGGGCCCATTATAATTTTTTTTTGTTTTCCTCTTCCTAATTAACCCCCCTCCCACCCCCAACCCCCAAACCACCCCAAATGGCCCAAAATACCCAGCCCAACCCAAAAATTTAAAAAAAATTGAAAAAAAAATTGTTTTTGGCCCGAACCGGGCCCGGGCCCAGCCGGGTCGGGCCTTGTTTTGGGTGACCCGAGCCCGGACCGGAAAACCCATGGGCCGGGCCTACCCAGACCGGTCACTGACCGTGCCACCGGATCGGGCCGGGCCGGAACAGTACCGGTCCCGGGCCGGTTCCGGGTCGGGCCACCCGGGCCGAGTCCATACCTAGAATAATTGCCTTGTTCGCTTAGGGTGTGTTTGGGAGTTGTGTTTTGGATGGGAGGAAAGGTTTAGTCCTGGACTCGGTTCGGGCCACCCGACCCGGGAACCGGCCCGGCCCCCTATGAGGGACCAGCTCGGCCCGCTACTGTGCGGTCCGGCCCGGTTCTTCGGGCCCAAAACCGGTCTAATTGAGCGGGGCGGGCTCGGGTTGGTAAAAAGGAGGCTCGGCCGGGCGTGGGCCCAGATCGGGTCAAATTGATTTTTTTTAGTTTTTTTCATTTTTTGGGCTCCACCCGGGTTGGGCTTGATGTTTAGGAGGGGTTTGGGGGGGGGGGGGGGGGGTGGTCAGTGATTCGTAGGTAAGCAAAAAAAAAACCAAGCCCGAGGCCCGGGCTAGTCCCGGGTCCACCTATTCAGAACCGCCGGCCCGCCTGGGCCTAGGCCTGACCCGGCCTGCATGGGCCTAGGCCTGACTTGGATTCGGCCCGGCCCGAATCCACCCCTAGAAAGGTTGATACTTGATAGGAGTTTCAAAACCCTCTAAATGCTCAATTTTTTAGTCCCCCCAATTTGGATGGTTTTGAAGGATAATTAATGAAATGGTAATTTAAACTCAATTAAAAATAAATATCAATTCAATTATTAGAATTCGTCATATTTCAAAATGATTTTAATTATAATTCATTTTAAAACTCTCTTCTTCCAAATTTATTACTCTCAACTCTCAACTAGGGATGGACTAAATTGGGCCGACCCGGCCTGACCCGGAACCGGCCCTGCCCGTTACTGTTTGGGCCCGGACTGGACCGGGACCGGTTGGCCGGTTTCGGGCTTTTAGCCCATTTGGGCGGGCCGGGCTCGGGCCCAACTTTTGGTGAACCGGCCCGGGTGGTTCGGGTCGGGCTCGGTTCAATTTTTTTTTCATTTTTTTTTTGATTTTCTAGGTTAGGGTTGAGTGTTTTGGGGGGGGTTTGGGGGTGGGGGTGAAGGGGGGGGGGGGGTCGGGTGTTAATTAGAAACCAAAAAAAAAGTGAACTTGACCCGGACCCGGCCCGGCCCGGTTAGGCCCGGACCCGGCCCGGCCCGGTTAGGCCCGGACCCGGTATCAACCCGGGCCGGTTTCGGGCCCAACATTTTGCAAAATAAGCCCGCTCGGGCCCAGCCCGGAACCGGAACCGGACTGGCCCGGATCCATCCTTACTCTCAACTACGAAGAAGAGCTTCCTCTAGGGATGGATTCGGGCCGGGTCGGGCCCGGGCCGGGCCTAGGCCCGGTCGGGCCGCCGGTTCAAGAACAGTGGGCCCGGGACCGGCCCGAGGGTTGGACGGGTCCGGTTCGGGCCGGGCCACCCGCCCGGGTCACGGGTCGGGTCCGGTTCGGGCCGGGTCGGTTAATTTTTTTTTTATATAATTTATATTTTATATTTTATAGTTTATAGTTTTATAAGAGTATTAAAAACAAACTTCAATTGCATTTAATTGAAATTAAATAGGAACTACATTTGAAAATTAAAACAAACTTTAAGAGAAACATTTTGAAAATTGTAATCAATCGGAACTTCCCGCACCTCCCGATCCTTTGGCTTTGTGACCTTTGTCACATGACTTCATATGCTTGATTGCATTCCCGAATCCGCCTGAAGCCCCCATAATACATTTTTTTTCGCACCATTTGCAAATTGCGTACCACATCCCGGTCTTCAGGTCCTTCTGCTTATCAAAATTATACCGTATAATGGCATTTTGATTTTCCATCTTAACTTCTTGGAGAAGAGAATTAGAGAGTAGATATATAATATATTGGAGAATAAGAGAATTAGAGAGTAGAGAGTTAAGAATGAATTTAGGAAGAATTGGAGAAGAGATATGAAAAAATGTTTAAGAGTAGGAGTATTTATAGGTTTTTTTACCCCCCACCCCCCCCACCCCCCCACCCCCCCGGACCCCCCCTTTACCCCACCCAACGGCTATATAGCCGTTTGGGTTGTCCACAGCCCCACCCCCAAGGCCTCAACGGCTAGTAGCCAAAAATCAAAAATTTTTTTTTTCTTTAAAAATAGACCCGGACCCGGACCCGGGCCCGACCCGGCCGGGCCGGGTCACAAAAATGCTGAACCGAGCCCGCCCCGCCCCTTCCCCCCGGTTCGGGCCCATACCCGGTCCCGGACCGCCCGACCGGGCCGGTCCCGGGCCCGCACAGTACCGGGCCGGGCCGGGTCACGGGCCGGGTGGCCCGAACCGAATCCAACCCTAGCTTCCTCATCGTCCCCTTCCCTTCCCCTCCAATAGCATACCCTCAAAGTCTTCCCCTCTCCTTCTCTCCCCCAAACTCCCAAACATACCCTTAAAAATTTCTTTTTAGTCAATGTTAATGTGTTTCTTTTTTGTTTGAGCTCCTTGAGAAATTATATTTTGTTGGGAAATTACCCCAAAGGCAAAATGAGTCAAAAGTTTGAGAATGCAAAGTAGGACTATTTTGGTCTCACGATAAGTGCCCGTTTGGAGGAGGAATAATTGGCTTATAAGCATTAGGGATGGACTAAATCGGGCTGGCCCGGCCCGCTACTGTGCGGGCCCGGAACGGACCGGGACCGGTTGGCCGGTTTCGGGCTTTTAGCCCGTTTGGGCGGATCGGGCGGGGCGGGCTCGGGCCTAGTTTTGGGCAAACCGGCCCGGGTCAATTTTTTTTGTTTTTTCATTGTTTTTTCTTTTCCTAGGGTAGGGTTGGGTGTTTTGGGGAGGTTTGGGGGTGGGGGTGAGGGGGGGGGGGGTCGGGGGATAACAAGAAAGCAAAAAAAAAATAGACATTGAACCGGGCCCAGCCCGGCCCGGACCCGGTATCAACCCGGGCTGGTTTCGGGCCCAAGGATTTGCACAAAAAGCCCGCCCGGCCCCTGCCCAGAACCGGAACCGGACCGGCCCGGGTCCATCCCCAATAAGCATCAAAAGCTATAAAAATAGCCAAACACCTATTGAATTGGTTGGTGTGGCTGTTTTTTATTATCAACTCAAAAAGTAAGTGGATAGCTACTTTTTCAGTTGAATTTTATTATCTCCCACTAAACTATTAGAAGAGACTTTTATCCTGGCTTTATTAACCCAAAAGCTCACCTCTGAGAACCTACAGCAGTGTTTCCGATTTCCCCTCATGACCTCATGAATGGATTCATACGTATAAATTATAGGTAGTATATTCGATTGGAAACATACATATTGGATTGAAACCTACCTTCAACAAATATAATACACAGTGGGCCGTATAATACACCACTCTCTCTAACAACTTTTTTGTTTAATACACTCACACACATTATTTAATATGGTGTAATAATATTAATATCCTTTATGGTAATTACACATTCAATAAGTCACTTCAGCTAGAATAATACCAAACACTCTCATTTCAGAAATTTCAACCGTTTCAGTCGGTTCAGTAATTTCAGCTGTTGCAGCCATTACTAAACAGACCCTAAGAGTTGTTATTGTCATGATTGAAAAATACATTCATGTCAATGCCTAATACTGGCAGTAATGACTTTAAGATGGCACTAAATGAGGTCATGTTATTCCTATTTCGAGCAGTAGTCATACTTTGAAATTCCACGAATTTTAACTCCTATTTCAGAAATTTACTCTAGTTAATTTTACATTTCTATAAGGAGAAGTGATGTGTATCTTTTCACGTCATATCATGTTTAAAAAATGTGACGTTCCACTTGGCCTTTTCTCTATAAGTCTTAAAAACGTTATAGAAAGTTGATGATTTTTAATAAATGGTATTGATTTTTTAAAATAGAGATTAGCGTGAAGTTGGAGAACGACTAACAAATTGATATATATTGTGATGATTAAGGATGTTTTCAGTTCGATTGAATTTTTCTAGTCTAGTATGGAGTATGATCTAGTTTTGTAAACTTGAATCTATTCTAGTATGGTCTAGTATGGTAGATATCAGTTTTATATGTACTTTACCAATGATGTAATCTTGTCTGCTTGAATTCTATCATTATAGAAGTTGTCACTTGAAAACTCTTTTCAGTCTTTTTAAGCTAAAAACTGAAAATCATTTTTTAATCGTTTGCAAACTTACCCTAACTATTGCTCTCTTTGTTAACTTTTTAAAAAGATGAATCATATTTTATCAATGACTTTTCTTTTTATATTACATACTACCTTCGTTCCAAAATAATTGTCTTGTTTTCCTTTTCGGGATGTCCCAAAAAATTGTCTTGTTTTCTCGTTTGGCAACAATGTGTGGCTCATATCAATTCACTTGTTTTTGCTCAAATCTCAACCATAACTTTTATCTTTTCAACCACTTATTTAAAACTTGTGTTAAAGTAAACAAGACAATATTTTGGGACGGATGAAGTATTACCTCTGTCTCACTAATATTGGAACAAAAGGAAGTAACACGGTTATTAAGAAAAATGAGTTTATGTGGTTGATATTAAAGTAATAAAGTAAGAATAAAGTGAAAATGATTTAGAGCCACACAAACTTAACTAAATTTTGTATGAGACAATATTAGTGGAATTTCTCGAAAAGATAAAATGTGACAATGTTAGCGGGACGGATGTTGTATTACTTATGCCAAAACTTGGATAACTATTGTTCATATTTCGTACTCAATTCCATAACAGAAGAAGATCGACATTCCATTATTGTCCAAATAGAGGAATACCCTATAATATACTCCAATATTTCTAAATAATCACGTACAAGTTTTAATATTTTTGAATAGTTTTTGATGGTTCAATTTTTCTTAATTTTTATTAAGAGCCTATTTCATAACACTGGAGCAAATGAATGGGCCAAATTCGTCGAATTATGAGAAAATTATATTTAAAATATTTTTTATTGTTAAAATATACGGAGTATATATAGAAAAAGTTATATGAAAAATAGCTACAATCGTTCTGTACAATAAATTCAGTCAGAAAAGTAACTCTAATCTTATTTATTTTGATTAGTATACAATTTATCGCACAAAATAAAATATTATGTGTTTGGTGAAAAAATTAGTTGATAAAGTTAACAAGAGGAAAACAAGAATTGGATTCATATTTTCATATAGTTTGATTACCACTTACATTGTTATCAACAACAAAAATGGGAGTGCTTTAAATGGATCACACTTCACACTTATCAACTCTGAGTAGATTTTTAATTTGTGTTTAATATTTTACATCATAACTATGTGTATATTTGTCAAAACTAGTTGAAAAGATACCTTTGTAAGCCTTTTAAAATCTGTTACTCCCTCCGTCCTCCTAATATTGATACGGAAGAGAGTGTTGTGGTTTTTAAGAAAAGTAGAATTATGTGGTTGGTAATGAGTTGATAAAGTGGAAATAAAGTAAGAATGAATTAGAGCCACACAAATGTTACCAAATAGGCAAATATGGTATGAGACAATAATAAAGGGACATCCAAAAATGAAAAAATGAGACAGTTATAGAGGGACGGAGGGAGTAATTTTTAATGACTGAATATATTCTAAAAGCTGACTGTTTGACTTGATTATATTTGATATGACATTTTGTGTCTCATTAATGTCAAAAACTACAGACAAATAATGTTTTTACTTGGACCAGAATTTGTTGGTCTGGTCTGATCTAGTAAATGTCTGGTCTTTGTGTATTTTATAACTATGGAAGTATGGTCTGGTCTGTTTAAGTCTGGTCTGATCAGTGATTGAAAACAATCCAAGTAAAAACATCCAAACTTTCATAAGTACTTATTGTAACTTCTCAAACTTTTTTATTTGAAAATTTCAAAATATGCGTCAAATTATTTTTCCAAACATATAACTAAAAGATTTTAGAGTCTTTGTAGGAAATATACGTAGTATAAGTTAGAAACAGGATACTTATATCTAACATGTTGAGGTGTTTCATATACGTGGTACTTTGATTATTTTCTCAGAGGATTTCTTAGCTCTTTTGCATCATATCCATACATGTTAGAAACTTAATTGATAAGGTAAAGTTTATTTTTTAAATGTATCACCTTAAAATATATATTTTAATTGGAATATGAGACCTATGTAGCATCAACACGGGAATGAGGAAACGCAAAAATGAGTACGGAGATACGACAAAATCCAAAAATATAGGATACATATACGGGAGTATATTTATAAATATTAAAATTTATGGGGGTGTATTTATAAATATTAAAATTATGGGGGAGTATCTATAAACAATTAAAATTACAAGATCTTTTTTGAAAATATATACTATGTACATATTTTATCGTTTGTCCATTCATTGCATTGAAACATTTTACATTATATACTCCCTCCGTCTCGAAAAAAAATTGTCACTAACCATTTTGGGATGTTCCAAAAAATTCTCTTTATTTACATTTTTGAAAAGTTTTGTGTGACTAACATTCGTTTACTTTTTTCTTACTCAACCACAAGTCCACAAACATACATATCCACTTTATTCTACTTTTTTAGTAAGCATGTCGAGTTAAATTGGAAAGTATTTTTTTGGTACGAAGTAATACTTTATCATACTCCGTATCATATACTAGTTCAACTCGATATATATAGTCAGTAAGTCACTAATATGAAATATGAAATGGGAAACAAATTAAATAATCACAATTTTGAACGTGCAAATACTCAAAGTTATGAGATAATGAAGATAGAACAAAAAAATAGCGGATAGGGCGATTAGTGGTGTGCGACATTCGAGGATATAACCAAGGTAAAACTTATTTTCAATTTTTCATATTTTAAGAATTTTATTATTAAATTTTTGGATTTTTTCCTTAGAAAAAGTTGATACATGTTTCCCAAAATTTCAAAATAATTACAAAAAATTTGAAAACCTTTATAAATCGCAAATATGGCCCAAAAATATATGGTAGCTGTGTAATGTGTATTATACTATCGTATTTGGTAGCAAAAGTACCTTTGCTACATAGTATGAGACACATTTTTACGAAGGCGAGTGGTTTTTAGTTTTTACTCTTAAACCAAAGACGTCATGGAGATTGCAGAGAATCTTCTCAGGTTGAGTTCTTCGGTGTAAGCCAAGCTATACTCACTTGCAACATTCTGATAGCTAATACTTGCTTGGCCAATACAAATCTCTGTTTTGGAAGATGAAGAGCCTTTGCGGGGCTTCCAAAGATGATAAATTCGTAGAATTTTGGAAGAGAGAGATTGGCTTATCGGTCTCCAGAACTTTCTCTCGCCGAATCGCGGCTTCAGAGGTCCTCGATTCATCTACTTATACCTTCATTTACATGTTCTGTTTCTCCCTTTTGCTGAATTTTATGTAGTTGCTTTAAACCTGATCATGTTCTCTGTTTTTTTAACTTGATAACATTGTTTTCATTTTATATTTGTCAATTTTCTCTTAAATTTGCGAGTCTGAGAAAGGTATACGAAATGGGCTCAAGGGAGTTTTTTTAATGAACTCGATTTGCATTTTTTATCACAAACTTTGTGAGCTGTTGGATGTTGTGGATTATTTGAAGGTACAGAGGTTGTGATTTTCAATTTTTTTTGCGAGAAATGATTTTCAATTTATGGATCAAGTGATGATGTAACAACATTAAGACTCAAAAGTTGTGCATTGCTTTTGACAATCAGGATGTGCAAAGTGCCAATGGATTCTTTAGAGCATTGAAAATGTTGTGTTGGATGAAGTGACTCAAATTTCTAATGTCTTTTTCTTCATTGGCATAGGGTGTGGTGAAGCAACTTGATTTGTACGGAAAATTAAAAGGTCATCATGGATGTGTTAACACAATCAGTTTCAACTCATCCGGTGACACTCTGGTGTCTGGCTCGGATGACAAACAAGTAATTTTGTGGGACTGGGCAACAAAGACATCAAAATTATCATATCCATCAGGCCACTTTGATAATATCTTCCAGGCCAAGTTCATGCCTTTCACCGATGATCGTAAAATTATCACTTCATCTGCTGATGGCCAGGTAATATACCTAGGTAGTATGTCACACTCATATCGGAGATTATGTACTCCAAAAAGCATAAAGTGCTTCAATCACTAAAAAAGGGGCAAGTGTTTTTTAGCCAATGCTCTTTCTGATTTGCAAGAAAGTAACTTGTGTTTTATGGAAAAATATGGCGATCTATGTATAATACGATATGTTGATTGACCTACAAAAATATAAAGTGAAAATAAGCGTTCTATGCAAGTCATTTTCCACAAAAGCTCAAAGAACCAAGGACAACATTTTCTTTTTGAAAAATGCTTTCCCAAACACATAAAAGCCTGTAAAATATTATCTAGGAACAAACAATAAGGTGCATTCTTTTCATGAATCTAAAAAATCTAGAATTCGTAACATAATTCGAACAATTGGGCTAAACAAGCCTGAAATATAATGAAAATATGGAATGCAGATGAATTTAGGAAAAAGTAGGATCTGCAAGCTGTCATCGACAGTCTGCTATTCAGTAATGCAGGTGGGTTCTCGTCTGTTCAAAGCCATAAGTGAAGGAAGTTGAACATAATCCGAAAATAGGAGTAAAAACAATGTGAAATTCCAAAATAGAAGTGATAGTTTACCCCTAAATAGGAGTAAATTAATTCCATTCTGAAATCATAATGCCATATTTTGCCATTACAAGACATTAATATGGTAGTATTAGATCGGCATTATTTTCAGAGCATGACAGTAATTACTCCTGCTGACCCCAAACTCTTTTGGGATTAAGTCTTGGATGTTGTTTGTTTGTCTGTTTGTTTATTTGTTTGTTTCTTGATAGCAATTACTCCTATTTGGGAAAAGCGTTATAATCCCATTTTTTAATTTCACATGGTTTTACTCTTATTTAGAGCAATTTCTTTTTTCTTTTCTACTACTCTCTCTCCACAGCATCTGCTGCCATGCACCATATTGGCATGTTCTTATATGCCTTATATCTACCGTCTTTGTTGCAATATTGTACTATGTCTAATAATATTGATTTTCTACTTCCTTGTTGACTCAAGATAAAATTTACTGCTGCAAACTCTCAAAGCCTTCTTTGTTGTAACAGCTCCAAAACAGTATATTCACTATATCAGAATAACCAAATGAAATCAAATATGTGTTGAAATATATTGGGGTGCTTCAGCTTTTGTGGCATTGTTTATTTTTTCATTAAAAGGCTTCTTTCTTGTGTTTCAAATAAACCTTCTTACTGCAGGTTAGGCTTGGCCAAGTGTTGGAGAATGGTAATGTAGACACAAAGAGGCTGGCAAAGCACGGAGGTCGAGTACACAGTCTTGCTGTGGAACCGGGAAGCCCATACATATTTTACAGTTGCGGTGAAGATGGGTTCATTCAACATGTAGGTCACTATTGTCATGTGACATTTCCCTACTTTGATATAATTATTCAGTATCCTTTGCCAGTTTGTGCTACTATATATGTGTGATAAAATGCACCTCTTGAGACCATATTGGGGTAACAATATCTGGTCCGATAGTGGTCTTTGAGGCGTCCGCCTACTCGTTTGTTAGGGGCAAGTAGTGTGGGCATCAGTTGGGTCCATTTGTCATTCCCTTCCGTTATCTAGCCCGAGTTGGGCTAAAGAGCGTGTGATGAATACGTACATCGGTTATGTACTTGGTTTGAATCTTATCTAGTACTAGTGTGAGATAAAAATCACATCTTAAGACTTTTAGGGATGAGCTAAACCCAATTTAACAAAGTACAATGCCTTTGGCAGTGGATTTGGGCCTATTAGTCCACCTCCTTCAATGTCCAGCCCAACAAGGTTGGGGGCGTTTTGAGTTCTCACATAAGTTGTCTATTGATTTTGAATCAAGTATATAAGTGCACGGAAGATCCTTAGGGTGTGAGTTAGACCCAATTTAACAATAAATAAACCATTGCTTACGCAAAATGCAGTATGACCTTCGAAGCAATTCTGTCAAAAAGCTATTTCGTTGCTCACCGTTAGTAGGAAACAACAAACAGTCCTCAAATGATAGCATACGGTTGAATGCTATTGTTATTGACCCGCGGAATCCCAATTATTTCGCTCTGGGAGGCTCAGATGAATTTGCACGTGTATACGACATCAGAAAATGTCAGTCGCAGGCAAAGACCACCAATCCTTTAAATACATTTTGCCCTCGTCATCTCATTGAGACAAATGATTTTCATGTAACGGCATTGGCATACTCTACCACAAGTGAATTGCTCGTCTCCTACAACGACGAACTGATATATCTGTTCCAGAAGAACATGGGGTTGGGTCCTGATCCTCCTTTATCTGTGTCACGTGAAGATAAAAATAGCATTGAAGAGCCTATGGTTTATTCAGGGCATAGGAATTTGCAGACAATCAAAGGAGTGAATTTCTTTGGCCCAAATGATGAATACGTTATTAGTGGGTCCGACTGTGGTCACATATTTATGTGGAAGAAGAAGGGGGGAGAGCTTGTCCGTCTGATGAAAGGTGATGAGGGCATAGTAAATCAGCTCGAGTCTCATCCTCATATTTCTCTTCTTGCCACCTCTGGGTTAGAAAAGAGTATTAAGCTCTGGGCTCCCTCATCAAAGGACATAACTCCATTGCCATGTAATTTTCAAGAGGTGAAAATTTTAGCACTCTTCTTAATAACTCCTAATGAAAATCACACATTTAGTTCCCCAATAGTTTGATATCATGAAAAGTCTAGTTTGTCTTTGCATGTATGTAAATGCGGTCTTTCTATTATAATTTAGAAACAACTAGTCACTCCCGTTAATGCTAGTAAATATTAGTGCTTATTGCGACATTCTTAGCATTTTTATATTGCCATGAATGACCTATGAGGCCATAAACCTTATTACTAAATGGTGGTTTTAACAAGAGACTGATTTCATCTCAAGTATAACAATTGAATGATCAAATTAAATTTGCAAAATTTTGAAGACAAACTATTTGCGAAGGGCTCGTTTAGTAAGGGTTATCTGGCTGAATGGTATTTGCTGAATTTTCCTACAGGAATGCCATATGGTAACATCCTTTTTAATGAAGTTTGGTGCATATGGCTAGACTCAAGTGCTTTAACCCTTTATATGCAAAATCATGTTGATTTTTAATTTCAGTGATTTTTTGTTGTTGTTGCATTATAAGTAATGAAGTATAGTTTTGAAATATTTCAAAGGTCGTCTCAAACAGAATAGCAGAATCAGCATATGAGGCTATCAAATGGAGCCATATTTTGTCAAACACTTGTGGGACTAAAAGTGCGCCTTTGCTGCTTCAGTGCCATACTCGGCATTAATTCGATCATATTTTTGCTTAATGAATAATGTTTTGTGTTTTACCATCAGATAATGGATGCCAATAAGCAAGGCAGAGAGGGCCCTTCGCTGGTCACACTTACCCCTGACATGATAATGCATATTTTGCATTTGAGTAGGATGCAAGCAATGTCTTTTGTCGAGGAACACTACAACAGAGGGGAGGCTGCTGAGAGCGACGAAGAAGGTGGAGGTGGGGATGATGCTATTGATTTTGGATATTCTGAAGATGATGATTCTGAGGAAGGAGGGAATTCCATAGAGTGCGACGTTGGCTAGATCAATAGGTTTAATACTTTAATTATATAGTTTATGTAAGCATTATATATGAAAGCAACAAATAGTTGCATGGTTTTCCTGTATATTTTCTTACCTTCCTGAAATGAATGTCTATTATTATTATCATCGTTATCTTCCGCATCATAGTCATCTAATTCATATTTGTCATCATTGTCATTGCCATCTTCATGGCTTCATCATCTAATTTTTTCTTTTCGTCATCATCATCGCCATCTTCCTCGCCGCCTAGGGATGGATTCGGGCCGGGCCTAGGCCCGGTCGGGCCGCCGGTTCAAGAATAGTGGGCCCGGGACCGGCCCGAGGGTTGGACGGGTCCGGTTCGGGCCGGGCCACCCACCCGGGTCACGGGTCGGGCCGGTTAAATATTTTTTTTTTAATTTATATTTTATACTTTATAGTTTTATACAAGTATTAAAAAACAAACTTCAAGTGCATTTATTTCAAATGAAATAGGAACTACATTTGAAAATTAAATAGGAACTATAATTGTTTTTAATCGGAATCTCCGGCATAGATAGAGTCACCCTCTGTTGTAGATTCATCCATAAAGTGTTGGGATGAAGTGATGTCAATTTCTTGAGCTCTACGTGCTGCTTTCAATCAATCGTGGTAGCATATAAGCATCTCAAGAGATTCAGCGCTCAACCTCGTTCTGGTTTGTGTTAGAACATTGCCGGCCGAACTAAATTCTTGTTCCACGGCAACCGTTGAAACCGGCATTGATAGCACTTGCTTAGCCATCTTTGCTAAAACCGGGAACATTCTTTCTTTTCCCTTCCACCAGTTTAGTACGTCAAAATCATCATCTTCTTCAAAATCAACATCATAAGTTAAATACAAAGAAATCTCATTAATTGTGCTTTGTTGTGTAGCGGGAATTGATTTTGTTTTTTTAATAAGATTGGCAAACGTAGATTTGAAAATTGATTTTCCTTTAGATGATGTTTGTGTCGGGGGAGGGGGCGCATTGCCATATTGTGCATGAAACTCATTGAATAATGCATAAAATATATCACTAACCTCGTTGTATTCTTTTTTCGGATCAATTGGGTTGTCCTCATACATTGGCAATGGACCAAAAAAAGCAGCATAATAATAATTCAAACATTCTTCTAAAGAACCAAGTCTAAAACGAGGATCGAGAACAAATGCAATACCATAAATATGCGGAATATGTGAGTAATATTTTAAAAACTTTTCCTTCATAAAACCAGCAAAATAACTCACATAATCAGCATTCTCAAAATTTGAAAAAGCACCGACGAGATTAACAGCTTCACGAATAAATTGGTTTGAGGTAGGTTTATAAACATGACTAAAAGTTTCAGTTGCATTATTAAAATATATCAAAGCATTACAAATTTTTTCACAGGTGTCGATCTCAGCCGAGTTTATAATATAGTTATCATATTGTTTCATAAAAGCAGGAAAATGTTGTTTATATCTAAGAAGAACTCCAATTAACTTATAGGTACTATTCCAACGAATAGACAAAACTTTTGGAAAAGCCACATATCTCTCACCTCTTTCTATCAAATAATCATGCCATTTTTTCTTAAGTTGTCCATTACCCCAAATACGTCTAATCCCCCCCTTGACTACCTCCAACGATGCTCCCAACGCTTTTAGACCATCTTGCACACATAAATTTAGAACATGACATGCACATCGTTGATGAAAAAATCTACCCATCAAAGAAGTAGAACCACACAATTCACGCAATCTAGGAATAGCAGCAGTATTATTAGTAGCATTATCAAAACCAATAGCAAACACCTTATCAATTAAATTATACTCAATTAAAATACGTTCAATCAAAATATAAATATGTTCAGCGGTGTGACGATCATTAAATTCACGGAAAGCAAGAACACGTTTATGCATATGCCAATCATTATCAATATAATGTACAGTCAGACCCAAATAATGTAAATTATGATAAGTATCCTCCCATATGTCAGAACATACAGTAACACGTCCATCAAAGTTTGCAAAATAATTTTGTAACCTTACCTTTTCCGCACCATAAAGCCTTGAAATTTCTTTCTTAATCGTTTTGCGACTATAACCTCTATATTGCGGATTTAAACAAGTTTGTGCATAATCACGAAAAGCAAGACTTTCAGAAAACAAATAAGGCAAATTTTCTTCAACAAGTAAGTTAGCAAAAGCTAATTTTGTAACCTTACCTTTTCCGCACCATAAAGCCTTGAAATTTCTTTCTTAATCATTTTGCGACTATAACCTCTATATTGCGGATTTAAACAAGTTTGTGCATAATCACGAAAAGCAAGACTTTCAGAAAACAAATAAAACAAATTTTCTTCAACAAGTAAGTTAGCAAACTACCTGTCAAATTTTGTGCATCATTGTATGAGAAATTACCAAAAGCTTGTTGGTTATTTGCAAATCTCGATATTTACGTTTGTTTCCCCGTTCCGCCGCCTAATTTTGCATACTCCACCGGGTGTTTGGACTTAAGGTGTCTTGTGGCGGATCCGTATCCGCCGGAAATCCCCAAGCTATAGTTTTTCTTGCACCAATTGCAAGTTGCGGTCCAATTCTCGGTGTTCGGGTCCTTCCACTTAGAAAAATTATTAGCCATTAATTCAGATTTACTTTGTTTTGTACCTGTTTGGGATGAGGCTGCTTGGTCGGCGTCATGGCTGCCGCCACCCTCCTCCTCCTCGTCGTCGTGGCTCTCCGGAATTGCTTCCTCCACATCGTCGTCCTCGTCCTCGAGCTCTTCTTCGTCAATGGTCCTCGGTTGGTCTTGAAAAAAGCGGGAATTATGTCGGTGCAATTCTTGTTCTAGTTGTTCGTCGGTCATCGCATCCCCATCCCTCCTTACGTAACCCGTATCAAAATCATCTTGACTTTGAGATGAAGAGCCGATATGTGATTTACCTTTGCGGGATCTCTTCCTCGCAAGCTCTTTCGTTCGGTTGTGCTCGAGGTTACCCATATCAACCGAATATCTAGGACGATCCATCTAAAAAATGTAGCGATTAATAAAAAATTGTAAAAAACTAATTAACTATTTATCTAACTATTAATTCGAGTTATAGCAAATTAAGTAGTGAATTAACTAGTTTTGTGTAAAACATATTTTTTAAACTAGAGTCAAATGTAGCAATTAATAAAAAATTGTAAAAAACTAATTAACTATTTATCTAACTATTAATTCGAGTTATAGCAAATTAAGTAGTGAATTAACTAGTTTTGTGTACAACATATTTTTTAAACTAGAGTCAAATGTAGCAATTAATAAAAAATTGTAAAAAACTAATTAACTATTTATCTAACTATTAATTCGAGTTATAGCAAATTAAGTAGTGAATTAACTAGTTTTGTGTACAACATATTTTTTAAACTAGAGTCAAATGTAGCAATTAATAAAAAATTGTAAAAAACTAATTAACTATTTATCTAACTATTAATTCGAGTTATAGCAAATTAAGTAGTGAATTAACTAGTTTTGTGTACAACATATTTTTTAAACTAGAGTCAAATGTAGCCATTAATAAAAAATTGTAAAAAACTAATTAACTATTTATCTAACTATTAATTCGAGTTATAGCAAATTAAGTAGTGAATTAACTAGTTTTGTGTACAACATATTTTTTAAACTAGAGTCAAATGTAGCAATTAATAAAAAATTGTAAAAAACTAATTAACTATTTATCTAACTATTAAACAAGAGTCAAATGTAGCAAATTAACTAGTAATTAAACAAGTGTAAATAATAGAATAATTTCGTACCTCTTTCGGACTTTCGGTCTTTCGGATGGGAGTAATAGAATGACTTCAAATTAATTAGATATAATTCCAACTATATTAATAGATATAATAAATATATAAGTAATATATAATTAGATAACAAATATAAGTATTATAATACTATTTATATCTATTTATAGTTTATATAAGTAGATAATTAATATAAACTATAAATAATAAATATAATATATTGGAGAATGGAGAATAAGAGAATTAGAGAGTAGAGAGTTAAGAATAGGATTTAGGAAGAATTGGAGAAGAGATATGAAAAAATGTTTAAGATTAGGAGTATTTATAGGTTTTTTTACCCCCCCCCACCCCCCACCAGCCAACCCCCCCGGACCCCCCCTTTACCCCACCCAACGGCTATATAGCCATTTGGGTTGTCCCCAGCCCCACCCCCAACGGCTAGTAGCCCAAACCATTTTTTTTTTAAATTAGACCCGGACCCGGGCCCGGGCCCGACCCGGCCGGGCCGGGTCACAATAATCCAGCACCGAGCCCGCCCCGCCCTTTCTCACCGGTTCGGGTCCATACCCGGTCCCAGACCGCCCGACCGGGCCGGTCCCGGGCCCGCACAGTACCGGGCCGGGCCGGGTCACGTGCCGGGTGGCTGTTTAAGCAAGAATTAAACTAATCTAAAATTATATGTATGTAGGGATCGTACAAGAAACAAAATGTAAAAACCGAAAATTAATGAATGAAATGTATTAATCTGAGTGTATGAATGAAGGAATGATGCTACAAATGCATAGATAATCAAGCCAGACTGATCGTCCCTATCCTTTGTAAGTTTTCCTCTATTTATACAACAATGTTACTCTGTTCAAATGGTTCAACTGTCCGCCGGAAATGTCGCCGAGTCCCTAGGCCCCGTCATTCGGTTGAATACTCCTACTAAGTCTATCCTTATCCGATTCGTTTGTCTTTTGTTTAGTTGGACTTCGCCTCTTAGGGATGGGCCGATCTATTTGCACTTCCGTGGCCCAACAATTGCCCCCAATTCAAAGAAGAGGAGGGCGCCAATTTCAAAAAATTAAAGGGCCAACCGATTATTTGAATTTTCATCATGACATCGCCTTGGAATGTGTAAGGCCGTCAGTCGTTCAGTATCAATCAATCAATAATCTCTTCCTCCCTTAGTGAATTAGTTCAGCAAGAAAAACTTCCTCTCTCCTCCTTTCGATTTCTTGCAAATCCCGGCCAGCACCTTGGTTCTTCATGGCTTCACAACCCTTCATTCCGCAACACATTTTACATCCGAAGAACTCCAGGCAAGCGAAACTTTCAGAACATCATGTCGACTTTATCAGGTCATCTATCGGCTTTCCTCATGATGCGGTTATTCGTTTTCCAGCAGCGAACGAGAGGATAGATTGGTTCTGCGATGGTTGGGTAAACTTTCTGATGTACCCTT